TATATGCCCTTCATATATCTGTATGATGTCTGGGTGTGGAGTTATGAATATGTACTCTGTATGGAGACTGGAAGTTTCTCTGTATGTGGTTGAGCAATGGGCTCAGCCTATGGACATGCTAATTAGCAAGGCTCCAGGGACAATAGGTCTCGTAAGTACCCGAGACCCACCTATAAAGGAATCTAGGTGCCTGGTCAGAAACCATGTGACTGTCTCCAGCTTGGAAGAAGCCATGAAGGAGATATAAATAGGCCATGTGGCCAACTCCATCTTGGTCTCCAGATCTGCTCCTGACCCTAGATGCAGCCTTGCAGGGATTCACGAGCCGGGAAGAACTGTGGACCCATCCTGGCATAGGATGTGCATCAAGGACTTTTAAGCCAGCATCTAAAATATCTCTGCTGCAAGCCTGCACCAAGACCTGGGAGATTCGATGCATGTAATGTATGATACTTTAACAACCTTACTCTCATGCTTTACTTTCTTGATGTTAGATTCTAAAGGACTGGCTCAGCGTGATCTTGTGGGTAAGGTCCAGAGTGTAAATTAACCTGGGATCTGTGGCTGGTTTCTTGGAACTGGACAGAACTTGTTCGGGGAAGGTGAGGTTGGGCTCTAAAACCCCTCACCTTTGTATGAGGCCTGGAGCCATCTGGGGCACAGATATTGCTGTGGTGTCGGAGGGGTTTTGCTCATGAGGCTTCAGGCAGGCAGCTGAAATGTTCTGTGGGACTGGTTTGTGGCCTATTTGGGGTACTGAGAAAGCATAAGTTAGGGAATCAGCTAGCTATTATGAACTATGTGTATGGCTATATCCTTATGGCTGCCTGTACTGAAGTCTACTTCTTGTCTTGTGCTAAGAAGAGGGAGAGTGGCTCTTTGGGGTCAGCCTCAGATTGGATGACAATTAAGTATAATCAACAACTGAATAACCCTGATCCTTGCAGAGCAATGGGGTTGCCATAATCTATCTTGATTAGGCATCTCAAACTCACGGCCTAAAGGCCATCTATGGTCTGAACAGTTCTATAATCTGGCTCATGCGCAGCTGCTGGCATGTGAGTCCCTGTGGCCATGGGGAAGGGTGACAGTATCTTTCTCCCAAGTGCAGCCCCTGCTGTGCTGCCACCCCGGCTCTTCTTCCCCTGTCCCACCCATCGCACCCATTTCCTTAAGCCCCTCCCTCGAGAGACACAACCTCAGGGATTACCGGGGGGCCTGGTGCAGGGCAGCAGTGGATCAGGTCCCCTTGTACTCACTATGGTGACAGGAGATGCAATGAAGTGGAGCAATGCAGCAGCCTCTGCTCTGCTCCACCGCCCGCTCCCAGCCTAGCCCAGTCACTCCACTTTACCACGATAGCAGGAAGCAAAGCACCCCAGTCCTAGGACGGGCTGGCTTGGGAGATGTTAGCAGAGTTGAGCAGGCTGCTGCATAGCCCTACTTCCCTACGGCTTCTGCTGCCATGGTGAGTGTTGGAGGGGCAGCCCCTAGCTTGCCCAAGGTCCCACTGGCTAACCTGAGTATGGGGGATCATTCCATCCATAAGACAGCAGGGGTAGCCACCACAGTGCCCCCAAAGCATGGGGTCCAGGGTGTTGTTTGCACCAAATCATCCTATGAATTGGACGGCTCTGTACACACCTCCCCCCAGGCTACAGGCACATGCCAGCAGTGACACAGAGCCCCATCCACAAGCCCCTCTAGCCCCACTGAGCTACTGGCGGTGGTGCTGGAGCCCCCTTAAAGGGGGTTACGTAGCCTGGGTGCAATAGGCAGGATGAGAGGACGCATAGGTGGGGATGCAGGCCAACAGGTGGGGCTGGGAGCCGTATGGGGGGCAACACTTGGAGACCTTCCCCAGTGCCCTGCCAGAAAGGGGAGCCTACTGGTGCACTTGGAGGATTTGAGAACTGGCACTTAGGTAACACTAAGTTTGAGCCATGTTCTAGATGGGGGTGGGGAGCCTAAGACCCGGGGGGCAGATGCAGGTTCCAGCTTGCCTGGATCTGGTCCCTGAGGCTCAGGGCTCCCCCCACCCTTGGGGGCCCACACTGGCATGGGGTGGGGGGGTTTGTGTCTCACTTGTGTGCTGCCCCTGATTGCTTTTTCTGAGGATTAATAGCCCTGACCCAAAAAAGGTTTCCCACCCCTATTCTAGATCAAATCAGTTATCTCCAACTTGTCTGCAGAGGAGAAGCAACAAGAAAAAAAAACCACATGAAAAGGAACACTGAACCAAGATGTTAGTCGTTAGTCTTGTGGCACCTTAGTCTCTGTCTATACTGCATCATTTTTCTGGAAGAAGAAATGCAAATGGAGCACTCGTCTGCCTATCTCGTGCTCTCATTTGCATATTCTCTTCTGATCCTTTTTGTGGAAGAGGTTTTTGCACAAAAAAGCACTGTATAGATGGTGCCTTTTTGCGCAAAAAACCCCTTTTGCACAAGAACTCTTATTCCTCAAAAAATGAGGAAAAAGTGTTCTTGCGCAAAAACCTCTTCTGCAAAAAGGATCAGAATATGCAAATGAGAGCATGAGATAGGCAAATGAGCGCTCCATTTGCATTTCCTCTTCCAGAAAAATGATGCAGTGTAGACGGAGCCTTAGAGATTAACAAAAAAAGATATGTAGTATCATGAGGTTTCATGGGCAAAACTCACTTCTTCAGCTGAGCTAGAAGCTGGACTGGAAATAACAGGGACCCAGAACCTATAACAGAAAAAAAAAGGGTAGAGGAAAAAAAGTTTCTGGCAGCAGTACTGGTGGTAACAAGGCTAACTGAGTGAGCTGGATGTGTCCCATACTTAGATTTTGATGTAAATAAGGTGTTACGGCTAACTGAGTGAGCTGGATGTGTCCCATACTGATGTAAATAAGGTGTTAAATGCATAGAGGGCTGGCTTTATAATGTGACATCCAGTTAATGTCTTTGTTCAAGCCAAAGGAACCAGTGTCAGATTGCATATGAAGATCAATTCTGCATTCTCTATAATTGGCTTGTGAAATTCCTTTGTTGAATAGCTACTCTTAAATCCATGGCTGAGTGCCCAGGCAGGTTAAAATGTACAGCCGGGGTGGCCAAAACTGTGGCACTCAAGCCACATGCGGCTCTTTGCTCATAGAAATGCAGCTTTTTAGTGTTACCATGCGTCCGGTTTTTCCCAGACATGTCCTGGTTTTCCTGTCTTCTTTAAAACACAAAAAATGTCTGGGATTGAGGGAGGGGGCGGCGGCACCTGCCTCCAAGGGGAACATTCGACTGTCTTTTGGAGCCATGTGCCTGGACAGTTCACGGCCGCTCTGTGCATGCGCCCCAGAGCCTGGAGGAAAAAGCGCTTGGCTGCAGCGGCAGCTCCCGTGAAACCCAGGATATTAATAAAAGAATCTGGGGCTGCCTGGCTCTGAGGGAGGGGTGAGTAGCTAGTATTGCTAGATGGTGGTCAGTTCAAACTGATGCATGACTGATTGCTGGCCTGGTGATATTGGGAAGGGAGCCCTCCCAGGAGCAGCGAGCTCGGGGCTGTATTTCTATACCTGTGGTGGATGGGTCAGGGGAGAGCGGCAGTGAGGGTGAAAAACTGCATGGCCCCAGATCCCTCTGCCCAACTCTCTCTCTCTTTTTGCTATTTCGAAATAGCGCGTCCACACTGAGTGGATGCTGAATCGCATTTAAGGCCAGCTGGAACCAGGTCTGGAAGGGCATCAGGTCAGGAGTTACTTTCTGAGGCCTGTGCTTAAAGGGACACCTCCTGGACAGCCAGTTCTCAGGTTTCCCTGCTTGCTTGCCTACCTCGATGAGGGACAGCAAAGCATTTTTGTCTCTGTGTGCTCTGGTTGCCCTCACTCGGGACACCACAGCATGCTGCAACATGGACCCAGAGCTGCCTCTGGGCACTCCAGTGCTTCTTGTAGACACTTTGCTACGAGCCTGGCTGCACTTTCTGAAGGCTGCCATCTAGGAGGTCCATCGGGGGCTTTCAGTATCCAGGAAGCCCTGCAAGAGAGCGTCCACCCTGAGGAAGACTAAGAGCTCCCCTGGTCTGCCCCACTGGGGGCTTGTTCCTCATTCCTCCCTCACTTCCTTCCACTTACCCCTCCCTAACCCCGCTTCCTGATGTCAAATAAAATACATGTATTTTCATTAACACAAACTCTCTTTATTTAACAAAACGGGGTGGGGAGGTGGGGAGATGAAACTGGTGACTGGGGAAAGGAGGCGGGAGAAGGGAGGAGAGAGTGGGAGAGGGGAGGGGTAAACCTGGGGGGAGGGAGCTGGACGGGGGAGGCAAGGGGAGGAAGGGGAAGGAGAAGCTCAGGGCTGGGAGTCTTGCCGGCCCAACTGTCTCCCAGCACCACGGGTGCAGGGGCCTCAGTGTCCCTGGGGGCGTGGGGGGCAAG